GAATCCGTGGCAGAGCAGAGAAACACGTGTTGTTGTTGTTGTTTTTGTTGTTTGCTTTCTTGCAGTGTTGGATAAGTGTATGTTCAGAGTCCGATTTCTGTAGGCTTTCTTTCGGGATACTTGAGAACGGCCTGAGTGAGCACTTCAGTGAGATGAGGTACACTTTCCACAGTGTAATAGCTGGAAGATGACCCACTGTGTACAGTAATATTAAGTGAGGAGGAGAAGGATGCTATTTAGTGAAAATGAAAGACATGAATTATAACTCGGGTGCATTTTTGGCGTCGGCCATCCACACTGTTCTCTGTGGCTCTGTGGCTGACTGGATGGCGAGGAGGAGTTACAACAGAGTTAACCAAAGAGTTGTGGGAGTGTGGAACGGGCGACTGTAACCAGCCATGCTGTTGCTGAAGCAGATACTGTACCCTGGCTTCTTTCAAGAACAGCTGGATGACATGCTTGGCTCATTCAAAGACTAACTACCACCGGGGCTAGATGGGTTGATTGGCCTCCACACATTGGTGTCTTTTCTTATGTTCTTATGAGACAGCACAGTGCCCACAGCTCTCACCTGGGACTCAGTGCTGGAGGAGGAACATTCACTGACTGGTGCTAGATCCACACTAAGTGATGCTTCCTGATCACAAATTGCATGGAGCTTTTAAAAATGGCATTGGAGGTGAAATTGCAAAACTGAAACATGGATAGGATTTAAATGTTTTCACGGATCCTGTACGGTGTAGCATGTTACTATTTGATGTTTTTAATCGTCGCTATAGTTAAGCTTCTTAAACTAATGACTGTAATTATCTTTAACTACTATAATTTCTTCTCAAATACTCATCGGTTTTGTAAGACTAAGCTCATAAGAGGAAGGCAACATGAACACGAAACCACCAAATGTACTTGAAAGGTTGTCATCCTTCCCAAGGGGAGGGAGTGTATTAAAAACATCTACCAGTGGTTCTGTCGTCTCTGGTTATTTTTAATCTTGAACTATCTAATATTCATTTTGGATAAGTAGTCTAGGACCAGGCTCTGGTGTCTTTATGAATGAGCTGTGGAATATGAACGTGACGTAATACTATTTAAAGAAATTAACATCCATTACCTTTAATTCTGTCAGTGTCCCATGAACTTAGTAAAACAAATGCGTTGTACTTGTTAAGGTGAATAACTTTATTTGCTAATGTGCTTATCAAAAATGTCAATGGCTTACTGCACAAATAGAAAGGAGACAATATGAGAAAGTAAAAAAAAACACCCAGGTAAGTGTGTGACCAAAAAAAAAAGTGTTCTTTTACCTTTACAGTTCACTTAGTACAGAGGTGCACAGGAATTGTGGATGTGCCGCTGTTTGACCTAAAGATTGTTTCCAAAAGTGTAAAATCTAATTTCATGTGAGGAGGAGAAAAGGCGCAGCTAAAAGTGCCTGATGAATGCGAAGCATTGCCAGCCTGCTCAGTACATATCTGGCTTGCCACGTCATGCTGTGAACAGGAATGATTGAATCTGGCCTGACACTGAAGGACTTCCCCTGGCTGAAGCTTTCCGAGAGTACGTGACTAACCAGTTTGTGGTGCTGGGAAAATAGAAATTCCCTTCCTTTTGTTCCGTTCTTTTTTACTATTCAGTCATTTAAAGTTAAATCAAACATTTTATTTAAACCATCCACAGTTATCTTTTCACAAAGCAAATGAATAACATTCGGGAAAACAGTGCACGAGTATGTTTCACCGAGCATTGAATTCAATATATGTGCATAATGTTCAGCACTCAACTTCTGTGATACTTCATTATTTGCATTTTCTAAACCACGATAGATAAGAGACTTCATGGGCCATTGATTAGCCTCTGCACTGCCTGAGATTCGCTTATATGAGAAAATAACTTAGTCACATTTGTTTTTGGCTGGGTGGTGTTGAGAGGTTTGGCATTTTCTGGCATTTATGGACGAATAACTAAATTCCTCATATGTGTTTATGAATATAGTCAAATCATAGTGAATGTCAATTCATCTGTATTGAACACAGGCTGTATAACATGCATTGTGTTAAAGCTCAAAACTGTCTCTTCACACAGCTTTATACAGCTATGTATCTCTTCATACATAATATATTTTCATATATAGTACAATTTAGTGCATTGTGATGGGTTTTATAAGAGCAGTTGTTGATGTCACTAATGATATTTTATGTAGATAAAGGTAATGCGATTCTAATAAATACATTGCTTTTCACATTCAAATTCAAATATATTAAACTGTAGGCATTTAAAATGTTTACGAGCAGAAATACTAATTAAAAACTACAGCTGCGTTAAAATTAAATCTGATGTCAGTTCCCTCCAAAAAATGACAGCATTCTGCAAGCTAAACAGTATTGCCATTAAGTAGATTTTAGCCTTCAGAAGTATTGCTGATATGTAGCCTCTATTTAAAAGTTATTATTACAGATATATTTAATTCCTCAAGCAAAAGAAAAAAATTATATCATCTTGGAAGTTTCCATATTTATTATATAGATGTGACTGGCTGCAAAGAAAAGGAAACAGAGAAAAAAAGTTTCTCATACTGAAATTTTTACATGTATCAAGCTAAGGTTTACTTAATTAGAACCTTCAGGCAATGAAGGAACCCTTTTTTAAATTCTGTGAATGTTAATATGCTAAATAATGCAAAGCCTCAGCTCTTCAAGCATGAGACACACATCTGGCGGCTTAACATTTAAATTACAGAAAAAAAGAAAAAAAACACTTCAGAAGTAATTTTCCAAGGAAAGGAAGAATGGGAAATGTATTACAACTAAATTCAATTTCTTTTTAGATTTTTCATCATTTCTAATTGTGTGCATTAGACTGATTTTGCTCGTAAGGTTTTATTCAGATTTTGTGGAGATGTGTGTGGCTCGAACTTTCTCAGGAGACACTATTTCCTCATGTTTATTGTGCGTATATGTCTTTGTTACTGTTACAAAGTAGTAAGACAGTAGAACACAACTGACTATCACCTACTATTAAAGTAGTAACAATAACATAGCAGTGCCATTACACAGTTAAGGCTGTAAAAAGGATTTAGTGAACAGAAAATGAGTAGTACAGATATGCAGCGATTATAGAGCGAGATTTTTTTGTTCTTTTTAAAAGCCTACAGTTTTATGTAGAGATATGTTGTAATATAAAAAAGCACTGCATAAGTGTCTTAATTTAAATTTGGTATTTATATAAATGAACTGTAAATGAAGACTGTAATGATTAAGACTGCAGCATATAAGTACATTTTATTTTACATATTACTGACTGAATTGAAATGATTTTTTTAGCCTTATGACTTTCTGTAGAATTTCTGCTTTGAGAGAAATAAACCAAAGCTGTACCTTTTATACTTTTCAACTATGAGCTACAAACATTTTTATGGGTTTGATTATTTGAAGTCGAGTTACAATAGATGCCTAGTTAGATTATCACAATAAGTCGACACACAAGTACATACAGAAATATAATTTATATATTTTAGACATTGATAAATAAACAAAGAAGCAAGATTACCAAATAATTTGTATAGTAAAAAGGATAAATTTAGATTCTTTATTGTTAAACACAACAGAGGCATTGCATTCTAACTTTACTTACTAGAATAAGTTAAATAATGTTTCTCCTAAGAAAACAAAACAAGTTGCTTCCAATTCTATAAAGCACCAGTAGGTGTTATGAATCTCAGAAGGTTTCATTACATCTTAAAATCTGATACTCTCAGACTCAATGTTTTTTTAAGAAAATCCGCTGCCTGTTCATTAGAAATTAAATATCCTTTTTGGAGCTAGTTTTTTCATACATATGGAAGAAGTGTATTTACTCTGATGTGGGTGTACACTACTGGCTTTATTCTTGCAGAGAAACAACAGTGCAACAAATACTGTATCTGATTTCAGTTGTATTTCAATACAGGAGGAAATTAACCTAAATACCCTAAAATACTCATAATGTACTCAGATTATTAAAAATAGATATATTTCTGAACCTACAAAAATAAATATTACTGTTTTGATTCAAATTAAGAATATATTACATTTAGATGACAAAAATTAAGGACAGTGTGAATTCAGGTTCCTGTAATAAACTAATACTGTAATACACTGTACAGTAATTGATTGTAATTGATTGACTTCATTTAGTTCCTTTAGTTATTAGAGGATAGTAAAGACAGAGGAATCTAAGACTTACATACAGTAGATGTCTCTTGGTGTTCTATGCTTGGAGTTATAAAATAAAGCACTACGTTTTTCTGCTTTTGTGAAGCTTTTTATGATACTTGAAAAAAGAGTTTGATTTTGATTTTGTTGATTTTCTGCATGAACTGTCAGTGTGACATATTTTTATTATTAACATATTGTCTTTTTTAGGACACAAATAAATTTCCATTAGTTTTATGTTTTGTAATAAAAACATAATTTGTACAGGAATGATGTTTTCCATTTGCACTGCCAATAGAACAGAAAAAGGACCTAAAAAAGATCTAAGCAGATTGTTATTATTTACATCTTGGTAAATATCATACTTTATGTAAAGTGTTTAGTGCAGTTTACACTGCTACCATTTTTATTAATATGCTTGCTTTCAATTTTTATTCAGTTTATTTTATTGCTATAGTTAGGTTTAGGTTTAAAGATTTGCGATTTAACTAAACATTTGTTATGAAGATTAATTACATTTTGAACCTTGGGATTCATCTCGGTTATTCCTTGATTATTATAAACCAGTACATGAAATATGTGATTACCTCTAAAAATGCAGAATGTCACCATTTCAGCTAACAGGTTTATTAGTAAAAAAAAATAGTAAAAAAACTGTGTTTTTGTGTTCTGTTTTGTCCTCAGAAATTGCCTTATGGATTAAGAAATTGTTCTCATTTGGAGAAAAAAAACACGGCACATACAGTACTCTTTGTTGTTGCTTAGGCTGCAGAAATAAAAACATCTGAGAAATGTTTAATTGCTTTGCAGGCGAAGATTCCCGAGCTGACAACCCTGAAAGTGCAGAGCCGATGAGCAATCCCATCCTGGGGAGGAGAGTGGCTGGAATGCACGGCAAGGTAACGCCGTGATTTTGGATGTGTTTCTCCTTCGAAACAGGCGAACCTCCCCGTTATTATCTGAGATTTGTCAAAGTACATTTCACACTAACAGGTATTTTCGGTCTTCAAAGCCAGTTTTGATCTGCTTGACAAGCAGCAGCAGCTGAAATTCTGTGAAATCAGCAATACCAGCAAACCTTTTTATTGCTCGGAACACGCCTTTTCCTGAGCTACAGAGGACTTAAACTAAATTAATCAAAGCCCATAAGTTACCTGCCACACTTTGAAGTGGTAATTGCAGAATTACATTCTTTGCTGATTTTGCAGTGCTGTTTCAAATTCTGGCTGTCAAACACTGTGGCGTGCCTTCGTCGTAGCTGCCTTTTTTTAGGATTGTTTCAAAAATAAAAGTCTCTGAGATATGTGTCTACAGTATGTATGTATGCACTAAGCATTGATTGTTTCAAAAATAAAAGTTTGCATATGTGATTGTGTAGGAAGGACAGATAAATACATTGAATATAGATTTAAAGTGTAATTTGGCTTTTCGCTTTAGAACTTTAGAATTTCGCTTCAGAGAAATTATTCATCCTGTTAAAATACATTTTTGCCTAGCATATATATTTATACAAATGTATTTACATATGTATTTATATGTGTGTGTTTGCATTTGTGTTGAAGTGCATACCTTTCACTGCCCTCAAGCTATGTGCATCAACCAAACAGCACACCTCTCAAGAATGCAGCTTTCTTTGTCAAATGTCACTGAGTTTAAACCAGTCATCTGATGATTAAGTGCAGTGATCTCAAACCTGTCTGAGCCTGGATGAGAAATATCAAGTAGTAGTCCATGAAACAGGAGTTAATAACAATTAAAATGCATTTTCTTTAGGCTGCCATGTTGCTGGAAAAAAAAAAAAGATGTGATGCTAATGTTTTTTTTATTTTTAAATATTTAAGATGCACTGCAGATGGAATGATTTGTATTTTGCTGCAGTTGTCTTCAGATTCCACCAGTAATCTACTGCACTATTTTTTTTGGTTATCAATCTCTGTATCTAACCTGATAATTGTGCATATGTTACTAATTTGTTACCAGTTTTTGGAACTTATCTTTTTTATTAAAACTGTAATTGAATGTTTCTTGTACTTAAAATTAATATAAAGAATTCCGCTTGACTTTGGGGGGTTGTTGCACACCAGCTTCATTGTCATGTCAATGTTTAAGTGTGTTGTTTTAAGAGTTTAACAGAGCAGGAGATACGAAATGAAATGACATCAAATTTCACTTGTTTTCCTTGCTGGATGTTCTGAATTGGATTTCACAGGTGTAGAGAGGGAGTAAGAAAGATGCTGGAGAGAGCATTTCTGATGCTGGAACACATTACCATATTTTACAACAGAACACATTGCAAGTTAGAGGACAATATTTAAGCTTTCCCTAGGGCATCCCACACTTGACAGGACAAGAGAATGCAAACATTTTGGCTGCTTCACAAATAAGATTGCAATTGCAACACTTCAGTGAAATGTTTAAAATGCACCCTTTAGTCCCTTGGAAATTTTGGGGTTTGTTTATAGAGCTCTGTGCGAATTAATGCAAAGAACAGCATCTTGTCAAAAGAAACAAAATGTTCCCGAAAGATATTTTTCTCCCTCATTGTCTACAGAAAACTTTCAAGGCCGCAACATTTTTACAGCAGGGAAAGGATTTTTAAAAGGCTGTTATCCAGAATGTATTCTGTGCTGCTGTGGAATGACAAAATGGTTTGTCTCTCTCTTGGCTTTCTGATTATATCACCAGAATCAGGTGCTCCTTCTTGTTTCTGCTTTGTTTCTTTCTGCAGGTGCCGGGTTAAAAAGGGCGTGTGGGTCAGTGGGGTGCTTCTGATAGGTGTGGGTATTTATATGTAACAATGCTGTATGTTGCAGAAGAAACCAGCTCAGAAGAGGAAGAGTAAGAGTCCCAGTCCATGCCATGAAGGGAGTGCGTCCTCGCTTCTGTGCGGAAAGGAGACCGCGCAGTCCTGCCTCTGCGCAGACGAGCTGGACGAGTACCGGTTCTCTTTACAGTGAGTCTCAGATGGCTGGCTTCTTACCACGACTGTTCTGTGGTTCTGAGACAGGCCTCCTCGTACATTAACACTGGAAATGCACCTTGAATCCCACATATTCTGATATATTCTTGCAATCCGTGATATTGAAATGGCCTCTGTCTCGCACGGCCAACTTTTCTTTGAGGAGTGAGCCTTTAACTTTAGAGGCCTTTAGGAGGATGCTGGTACTGTATGTAGTGGGCCCCAAGTCGTAATGATAGAAAGACTCCAAAGCAAAAAAAAACTTCTGTTTGTAGTACAGCCAAGTACAGTTAGGTGCTTGTTGGACATTGATTGGACACTTTGCTTTCCCTGGTGTATATTTGCCCTGGTTCCCACTTCTTTTTATAAATGCTTGCATAATGCCAAACTGCAGCATGAAAAATTAGGTCCATTCTGGGTCTATTATTGTTATTGTAAGGCCATGCTTAGATGTCCTGAGTTATTACGGCTCATGAGGAATGTAATAAATTCAAGTGCACAGGTAGCTATAATTTAAACAGCACGCACTGCTAATTTGAAGAGTTGTTCAGAATCTTCACTTAATGATGGTAGAAAACAAGTCAGTAATGATTTTGTTCTATGTAAAGAAAGTGCAGGAAGATTATTTTTGTGTACAATGCTTAGAACCAAGTAATCCATATGTAGCGCTATTTGCTATTGGTTTGCTGAAAATGAGTGCTTTAATAATACTGAATTTATACAACTGAGCTTGATAAAGCATACATTTGCATTGTTATCACTGTTGTTTAATTGTTTTAATTCATTCTCTTATGTCTGTGTGTTGTTTTTATATGAGACAGGATTTCTGTGATAGAGTAGGCTGTATTTGGTTTCTTATAAAAATAGGATAATATTGGACTGGACATCGTTTTGGTTCTCTAAACTTCAAAGAACAAAAATAAAGAATAAATACACCAAAAACAAAATGCTTTAACAAACAGATACTGTAGGTCTTTATCCTATATGTGTGATAATGTCACTTAAAATGAGGTTCTTGGATCATGTAAAGAAATGTGACACTTGTCGTCATCTTGTAAATGAGCATTGATCTGCATGGTAAACAATTAAGAAGTGGTTCCAGAGTATTGCAAAAAACCTGGCCTCACACAGAATGAAATATATAAGCTAATTTGATATTTTAGATGCATCTCTGACTTTTGTCAATTAAAAAGCAGTATAAAGTTTTAATTCATATTGCAATCATATTTGTGTATATAAAGGCAGATGCAGTAAATAGTAAAGATCAGTGCTATTCCTAATGGAATTAGTCATTAGTAGCTACAGTAACAGGAAATTATGTTTGTTTTTCTTATTGAATAATTTGATAATACTTGGGATTGTCTGAAATCTTACTATCTTGTGACTCATATTTAAGTATCAAAGAGGGTGACTGAAGTGCTGCGCTTTTAACTGTATCAAAGTTCTATTTGATTTAAATTCAAATGACAAAAAAGTAAAATGACCAATAGGGGTGGCACTGTGATGCAGTGGTAGGTATTGCGGTCTCAGTGCTGGGGCCCTGGGTGCAGTTCCACACCTGGGTTGCTGTCGCTGTGGAGTCCCAAAACATACTTGTGGGATAATTGGTTTCTGGGAAAGTTGGCCGTGTGTGTGTGTCCGTCCATATTTGAAATGGACTGGCATCCAGTCCAGGGTGTACTGTACCCTGCCTTGTGCCCGTTGCATGCTGGGATAGGCTCCGGCTCCCCTGCGACCATGTATTGGATGAAGACGATGGGAGGATGGAAGAGGACCAGTGTAAAGGATCAGTTGACTTAATGGTTTGGAGTTTAAGTGTCTGCCTGAAGAAACCAAATAAAATGACAAAAAATGCCAGTATCATGAAGTGTTTTTTATATCAGCATACATTTTTGTCTATCCTGTCACGTTTGGTGAAACAAACTTCAATTTTAAAATTTTAATACAAATATAAGAAATCTGTCTTCTCAGGAGATATGCAAAACCATCACGGTCAGAGTGAACATATTTGCGAACATTTCAGAAGCATAGCAGTTTTGTCACCGAATTTATTAATAATGCAATGATAACTAGTTAGCTTGTTAGAGATTTATGTCATGAGAGGCTGTAATTCACTGGTAGAAAACATTAGCACTCATGTCTCCATTGTGATTTACTTGTTAACTCCTCAGTATAAAACAAAAAATGAGGTAACATGTTTCCAGTAAGGTCTGCTGTTGATTCCCTGTGCAGTTTACACCTGTGTTGATAAAAGCATGCAGGTTAAGTGGAATCACTCTGCAAAGATAATTTGTCGCAGGCTGCTGTCCACATCATGAAGAGGCCATGCTTTTCTGATATCTGTCAGTCTATTTCAATAGCACAGTGCCGCCAAAGCTAATTTAAATCTCAGTGTTTGTTTTTCTTTCAACTTCTATTGAAATCCAATACTTTAAAGGTACACATATCACATGTGCAATGTCAGCTTTTTCATTACTACCTTCCGGTATAACACCTTTCTATGTATTTCTTACAGGCAGCATTTGTCATTATGTAGCATGGCTATTACAAACCCTCATACATACAAAAGGCAGCCCACCAGAAGAATACTAAAAAAGGATACAGGATAAGAAGCTGAGTTAATTTGTTTTATACAGTATGTAGAGCACGACTTACAGGCTACTTGTTGCTATCAAACCATCATTATTCAAAGAGTAATCTACCACCTGAGCAGACAAATTGCACCTCTGCAGCTGTTTCTAAAGACAATCACTACAGCAGCAAGATACAGGTGGATGGATCATCACAGCTTTTATGCTCTTTCAAATGCATTCAATTAAAATTGATCGATTTTATGTTTCAATTAAGTATCTTTGTCTCCATTAAGTCAGCTTGGCAGGGTGCTGTTTTCTGCAGTTATCTTGTCTTCCCATTGTGTTTCCTATGGTGAAGATGGTTGTTTCTGAATTAACATTTCAATATCCTGGTGTCTCAGAACTCACCTGTGAATTTATATGGCTTCATATTGCTTTAGTGTATGTCTAGATTTTTAATTGAAAGTTTTTTTTGTGTTGAAAGGACAGTTTAGCTGTTAGGAGACCGTTTTAAATAACTTGACCATATGACCATAGTTATTATAAAAGAATGCACATTTTGTAGTATCCCATTTTCCTTGTGTCAATTAGCTACTGACTAGTAAACGGACATGAATTGGCCTTTTAGCGTTTCTTATGTTCTCAAGTTATGTTCTTAAAACCTCGGCAATGAGTTTGCCCACTTGGTATAGATGGTGGATGTGTGCCATTTGGGATGTTTGATGGAGTTTATAATAAGAACTTAAAGAAAGGCAACCGATAAAAAAAAAAAATCAATAATCTCCAAACCAGTAAAATGTTCCAAGCTTGATCTTGTTGCATAATCATCAAATTAAACCCAGCTGCTGTCTTCAGAATGAACAGTGAAACAACTGTGAAAATAGAAATTATGGGGAAGTGCATTGAAACCCAGAACAGGATGCACTTCTTTACCCATTCTTTATCTGGAACAAGCTACCCAGCCATGTTGTTATAGCTATTATCCTGGCTGCTTTCAGGAAATGCCTGGATGAGATCCTGGCAGCACATAACTATAACTAACTATTGTACATCTAACCAAACAGGCTAGATGGACTGAATGAGTTTCTCTCATTTGTAATCTTTGTTACGTTTTGTCTGTCCATCCGTCCAATTAATCTGTGACATTTTATTTTCTCTCATTTTGTTTCTATCGGTCTACCATACGGACTCATGGAAAATAGACAGATCTGTGGACTTGCCCTACAAACAGTGCAGAGTATCTGTGGAATATATCATGAACTGTCAGCATTATACAGAATGTTTTCTGTTGGCATTTGTAACAGTGTCAGAGCTGGCAGAAGATAGAGCTCGAATATTAACATAGAAGAACCAACGAATACTCTCTAAATCCCCATGGACTCCTCCCCCTTCAGCCCAGGGGTGTTTTCACGAACAGTAGCGTGCTCAATGTTAAGCACAGTAAAGGGAAATTAAACCCTAGATTTGGAGGTCAAAAGGCTAGGTTACTCAGTTTTTTATATAGGTCTTATCTGGTTCTTAACTAGCGTTTGTCTTGATCTTTAAGTACTGATCATTAGACAATAATATATTCTCATTTGTTAATGATCTGGCATTTTTCTTATTATTTTGTATTTTTATTTTCTATTTTGTTCAGAGAACTTTGTTTCTTTGTTGATTTTGTGGACCTTAAGATTTTTTTTTTACGTTTTGGGGAAACCTGCTTTAATCAAACTCACTTTCACATAACAATTAGATCTAATTAGCCCAATTACCAAGACTCTAATTACACTGAAATGTACCCCCTAAATCTCACACCAATTATGTCTATGACTTTTCTTGTTATAAAAAGAAAAAGGAAGAGAAAATTGTGAGCAATATAACAGTGAGGTTAACCTCAGGAGGCAAGGCTCTTTAAAATATAAAATTCCACATCCAATTCATAACGTCATGTACAGACCATTTTTAAAATAACTTTTTTAATCTACTGCGAAGTGCTGGTGTGTACTGTAACACCCACAGCACTGCATATAAGATTAATTTTTTTTTGCCTCTTTTACCTTACAAACTCTAACCCACATTCCAATCACAACATAAAATGCCAGGCTCCTGGTGGCGTCTTTTTGTTTGTGAGACACTTCCTCCTTCGAGCCACTGGAAACCCAGCATCCCTTCCTGGGACTGTGCAAATATGTGGTTGATGGTCTGAAGCTGGGCAGTACGGCACAGTGCTCAGCATTGCTGCCTTGCAGCTCTGAGAGCCTGGGTTCAGTTCTTGATCTGGGGTACCTCTGGTTTCCTCCCACAGTCAAACACATGCTGGTAGGTCAATTAATTTATGGGAAAATTGACCCTGGTCAATTGTGTACTGTGTGCCCTGTGATGGACTGGTGTCCTTTCCAGGGTGAGTGTGTGTGTGTCCCCTGTGATGGACTGGCATCC